ACAAAAACCCACAACCCCACAGGAAACATACAGAAATACATATGGCTCCCAATCAGAGATAACGAGCCGAACAGCTGACACTCGTTACCTCCGATTGGGAGTCATTGAACAAACCTAGAAAAACAACAACCTAGACACCCCAACATAGAACACAAACACATAGACTGCACACACCCCTGGAATAAACAATAATGAGTCCCAACACCAGGGTGTGACAGTACCCCCCCCCTAAAGGCGCGCACTTCCGGGCGCACCAGCATACCGTCTAGGGGAGGGTCTGGGTGGGCGTCTGTCCAGGTGGCGGCTCTGGCCCAGGTCGTGGTCCCCACCCCACCATAGTCATTACCCCACTTACTTAGCCTCCTACACATTACCACCCCCAACTACACCCCACTGGGTTAAGGGGCGGCACCGGACTAAGGGGCAGCACCGGACTAAGGACCAGCACCGGGATAAGGGGCAGCACCGGGGCTAAGGGGCAGCACCGGGCTAAGGGGCAGCACCGGGCTAGGACCAGCACACCGGATAAGGACCAGCACCAGGCTAATGGAACAGTACCTGACTAAGTGGCAAGCACCGGACTGAGGGGCAGCTCCGGACTGAATGGCGGATCCTGGCTGGCTGGCTCTGGCGGATCCTGCTGCTCATGGCTGGCTGACGGATCTGGCTGCTCATGGCAGGCGGAAGGCTCTGGCTGATCCCGTCTGGCGGAAGGCTCTGGCTGATCCGGTCTGACGAAGGCTCTGGCTGCTCCTGTCTGGCGGAAGGCTCTGGCTGCTCCTGTCTGACAGAAGGCTCTGGCTGATCCTGTCTGGCGGAAGGCTCTGGCTTATCCTGTCTGGCGGAAGGCTCTGGCTTATCCTGTCTGGCGGAAGGCTCTGGCTGATCCTGTCTGGCGGAGAGCTCTAGCGGCTCCGATCTGGCGGACGGCTCTGAAGGCTCATGGCAGACGGGCGGCTTTGTAGGCCTCTGTACAGACGGGGTAGTTCAGACGGCGTTGGGCAGACGGACAGTTCAGACGGCGTTGGGCCGACAGGCAGTTCAGGCGCCGTTGGGGCAGACGGGCAGTTCAGACCCCGTTGGGCAGACGGACAGTTCAGGCCCCGTGGACAGACGGCAGACTCTGGCCGTCTGAGGCGCACCGTAGGCCTGTTGCGTGGTGCCGGAACTGGAGGTACCGGGCTGAGGACACGCATCTCAGGGCTAGTGCGGGGAGTCGGAACAGGGCATGCTGGGACCCTGGGGGACTCCCATAACGCCTAGTGCGGGGAGCCGGTAACAGGGCATGCTGGACCCTGGGGACTCACCTCACGGCCTAGTGCGGAGAGCAGGAGAACAGGCCGGGGCTGGGCTGGCGACGCGCACCGTATCCCTGGTGCGAGTGGCCGGAACAGGCCGGTGCCGGGCTGGCGAAGCGCACCGTATCCCTGGTGCGTGGAGTAGGAACAGGCCGGGCTGGGCTGGCGAAGCGCACCGTATCCCTGGTGCGTGGAGTATGGAACAGGCCGGGCTGGGCTGGCGAAGCGCACCGTACCCTGGTGCGTGGATTAGGAACAGGCCGGGCTGAGCTGGCGAAGCGCACCGTATCCCTGGTGCGTGGAGTAGGTAACAGCAGGGGCTGAGCATGGTCGACGCACACCGTATCCCTGGTGCCGAGTGGCCAGAACAGGCCGGGGCCGGGCTGGCGAAGCGCACCGTATCCCAGGTGCGTGGAGTAGGAACAGGCCGGTCCATACCGGGAACACACACCCACTGGGCCTCAACCGAGGATCAGGAAACGGGCCGGAACCGAACTGGTTACACCACCCAGTACCTCACGCCCTGCCTCAACACCTTCCCTCTCTGCTTTACCCAGTAGCCCCTGACCTGGTAGCCCACTGAATCCTACCTTCTCTGCCTCCGTCAGCCCCCCTTAACCTGGCCGCCTTCTGACTCTCCCTTGTGGCAGCCTCCTGCTGCTCCGTCGCCCAAGCCATGTGCCCCCCCCCAAAAATTTCTTGGGGTTGCCTCTCGTCCTTACGACGTTGAACCTGCTGCCGCCGATGCTCCTCTCTTGCCAGGGCCTTGATCTTCCCCCAAGGTCCCTTGCCTCCGAGCATGTCCTCCCAGGACCACACTGTGCCCACCTGGGCCATCGCCAGCCTCTCCATCTCCTTGCCCGGCGCCTCCTCCCATGTCCAGTCACCTTGCTCCTGGACACGCTGCTTGGTCTTTCTTTGGTGGGTTTTTCTGTCACGATCGTGTGAAGGATGAGACCAACGCGCAGCGTGTTGAGTGAACATCGTAGACTTTATTAAGTTGAAGCACGACAAAACAATAAACCACGATCATGAAGTTCCACGGTGCACTCACCGTAACGGAAACAAAAACCCACAACCCCACAGGAAAACATACAGAAATAAATATGGCTCCCAATCAGAGATAACGAGCCGAACAGCTGACACTCGTTACCTCCGATTGGGAGTCATTGAACAAACCTAGAAAAACAACAACCTAGACACCCAACATAGAACACAAACACATAGACTGCACACACCCTGGAATAAACAATAATGAGTCCCAACACCAGGGTGTGACAATGGTCAACTCTCTGTCAATAAACGGTTCCATCTAAGAGGAGACGTTCAGATGTACTTGTGTGTTTCCATCAATGAGGTCATTCACTAAATGCCTCCTCCACTCCACAAACCACTCATCTCCATGCGCCCCCAGTGTGTGTGTGTGTGTGTGTGTGTGTGTGTGTGTGTGTGTGTGTGTGTGTGTGTGTGTGTGTGTGTGTGTGTGTCAATCCGCAGGCCCAAACACAGCAAGCCAAGGTCAGATCTGTGGACTAATGGATACCTTCTTGTCCATTTCTAGAATTAGAATGAAGTTAGACAATCTGAGACCTCGTCACTAGCAGCTTCCTATTGAATGAACCCTGGCAATAGCAGACTAGGTGTGTGTGTGTGTGTGTGTCTTTGTGTGTGCGTGCGCGTGTGCGTGCATGCGTGGGTTTCTGTGTGTGTGTGAATTGAATTGAATTGAATGTGAACGGCCGTTGACAGAGAGCAGGTCCCTGTTGAATGGCTGAATCACTGATAATAGGAGGTCAGAGGTCATTACCCTCTTGCCACCCTCCAATCCTCCTCCTTCCCCAATCTCTCCATCCCCCCCCCCCCCCCCCATCTACTCCTCCCTCTTTACCGTTCTATCACTCCTCCTCCTTCCATCTCCATTCACTCCATCTTGTCTGTCACACAGCCTCTAATCTCTGGTGGACAGACTCTGTAAACATAAATGGTACCATTGATCTGTCTTTATACTAGGGGCCCCCGATAGCGAACGACCAGCAATAGTTCCGGTGTTTGGGTTTTTCATCACTGGTTATTTGGACAAATCACGATTTCGCAGGTGTTAGCATCTTTCGAATTTTGGAAGGGGAGGGGACATTCGGCCCTTAACTTGAAAAGAGAGAGGGTGGAGCTCCTAGATCTGGTTCTATTCTAGCATCTCTTCATATCTTCTCCTAACATGTATGGACCCAGAACGTAATCGAGCAGCTGACCAATTACGCAAGACTATAGTTCTGGGTTAACCGAAATGACACAGCCTCTTAAAGGTGCTGATCCAGACAGGGACGTGTGTTGAATCCACTAGACAAAGAGCCAGCCAGCGGCCAGATGTCAGTCAGAGCCCTGGACCATTCAGACCAGAGTAACTCCACACCCTCACCTTCAGCATGCAGACAACAAGCTTCCTCTTCTGACGGCATGGCAGACCCTCGATAATCCACCTGTTCACTCTGTTGACGTTCAAGTCCCGACTGGTGGACAAAGACTGGACATGGTTGTCTAAACGTTTGTTATACATTGGACACTCATCAGCTGTACGCACTTAAACCCTCTGGTGTGTGTGTGTGTGTGTGTGTGTGTGTGTGTGTGTGTGTGTGTGTGTGTGTGTGTGTGTGTGTGTGTGTGTGTGTGTGGGGGGGGGGGGGGGGGGGGGGTGGTTAACCCGTGTCTCCGGTTGGTCTTGGGAACCTCCGTCACTCAGGTTCAGGTATAAAAGAGATGACCAGAGACAGAGAGACACACGCACACTCTCAGACACACAAGCACACACACACAGACGGACAACAGTGCCGACACTCAAGAGGACAACTCCTCAGAAGAGAAAAGTGATAGACTGGTTGGAGGAAAGAAGTGAGAGAGAAGAGAGAGAGAGCGAAGCTTTTGGCAACAGGTTGGTGACATCACATTTATCTTCTTTAGATTTGAGAGTTATTATAAACAGAACACTGAGTTCTAAAGTTTATTTCCAATTTTCTAGTAATTATTTATTTTGTAATGATAATTCAAATAATATAATTATTTAGTCCTTTAAATGATTGCCATTAATTAACATGATTATTTTACTAAATTCTAATTATTTTACAAAATCACATTTAGTCCTCTGCAGCGATGGGGTTTTATAATTGATTGGGCAAATGTTTAATATTCTTTACTTGTTCACATAAAAAAGTGAGAACAGTGGTGTTAGCTCATAGTCAGTCCGTCCGTCACTAACACCTGAGTCAGGAGCTTTTAGGGAAAATATAAACTGTCATTGAGTCATTAGTTAAGAAATGTGTCACATTTTTGTCAACCTCATCTGCCATCCTTCAATTTATGATGACATTCAGAACTTGATTGTGGCAGTAAATTCCCCCTATGCTGCTTACTTACAGATTGCTGTTGACTGTATGTGGCACCATGTGTCCCTGTAGGGGAACCCTCTGAAAAAAGGTTCCAGATAGAACGCTTTAAGATCAGATAGAACGCTTTCTGGTTCCAAATAGCATCCTTTATCAGGTTCTATTTGGAACGCAGCTTCTTTTGGGTACCTAAATGGGTTCCATCTGACCTGGAAATGGTTCTCCTACAGGGACAGATTATGTTACATAGCACTCTTTTATTTCTGAGAGTATAGTTTAGCCGCATCATGCCGTGAGTGTGTGTGTGTATAACTGTGGTCTGTGTATGTGCAGGTTGAAGATGCTGTGTCCTGCGTGGTTATTGGCTGTGGCCATGTTGGGCGTGGTCAGAGGGGTGAAAGGTCAATGCTGGGAGAACCCTCGCTGTCAAGACCTCAGCTCTGAAAACAACTTCCTGGTGAGCTAGAAATGTTGCAAAGAAAGAGCAGAATGTTTTCCAAATGTTGTAAGCTCAAGTATGTAAGAGAGCGGTTACAACTGAGAGTGTTATTTTACTGTTACCCATCTAACCTCTCCTCTCCTCTCCTCTCCTCTCCTCTCCTCTCCTCTCTCCTCTCCTCTCCTCTCCTCTCCTCTCCTCTCCTCTCCTCTCCTCTCCTCTCCTCTTCCTCTCCTCTCCTCTCCTCTCCGCTCTTCTCTCCCTCCTCCTATCCTCCTCCCAGGAGTGTATCCAGCTCTGTCGTTCTGACCTCACTGCCAAATCTCCCATCTTCCCTGGCAAGGTGCATCTCCAATCCCCTTTCCCCTCCGACCCTGACTCTCCTCTCCCCTCCTCCCCTCTGTCCCTCCTCTCACCACCCTCCCCCCTGTCCCCCTCGGAGCAGCAGAACAGCGTGTCCCCCCAGGCCAAGCGTTCCTACTCAATGGAACACTTCCGCTGGGGAAAGCCTGTGGGCCGTAAGCGCCGCCCGGTGAAGGTCTACACCAACGGTGTGGAGGAGGAGTCCTCCGAGGCCTACCCCAGCGAGATGAGACGAGAGCTGGAGGCTGGGGCTGCGGAGGGGGGCGAGGCAGAGGGCCTGGGGGGCGAGGCAGAGGGCCTGGGGGGTGAGGCAGAGGGCCTGGGGGGGGTGTTTAGTCTTCAGGAGAAGAAAGACGGCTCGTACAAGATGAACCACTTCCGCTGGAGCGGACCACCTGCCAGTAAGCGCTATGGAGGGTTCATGAAAAGCTGGGACGAGCGCAGTCAGAAACCACTGCTCACGCTGTTCAAAAACATTATCATCAAAGATGGACAGCAGAAGAGAGAGCAGTGA